AGTGAAATCAGTGCTTAAAGACTCTGGGTCCAGCCTGGTCTCTGAAACATACCTGATGTACCAGCAGGAAAGACGAGTCTGGACAGGTCGATATTTCCTATCAACACACGGGTATATGCCTCCTGATGGGGGGGACAGGAAGAAGTAATGTGGCATACAAGAAGGAGAGCCTGAGAGCTTCCAGCTGTTTGACCTGTGTATATGCAGGTGGGTGGGCCTAGGCCTGTGTGAGGGGGTGTTGGAACGGAGGTACATGTTCATGTGTGGTCACCCAGGTTCTGGAAGATGGCCAGAGGTGGCTGAGGGGGACCTGCCCAAAGCTGGGGCTTGGCCCATGCAGTTCTCTTTGGCTGGCCCATGGGATGCTTGCAGATGACGGGGAGCTGAGGCAGTGACAGCAGGGGCTTGGGAGGCAAACTCCCTGGGCTGGAATCCTGACTTGGCCACTCACAGACTCTGAGACCTTAAGCAAGCAACTTGAACCTCTCTGTGTCTCACTCTCCTCATCTGTAATGGGACAGCCACAGTACCAGCTCGTACTGTCGCTGGGAGGAGTAGGGAGACTCCTGCATGTAAGGCGCTCCGAGTGGAGTAAATGCTCCAGTTGAGGTTAGTGCCCCCATTACCATCATCATGATCATCCTTCAGTTTTCTTAAGGTTTTAGGTTTGGGTTGGGGTTTGATAACCTGGCAGGTCAGGCTTGTTTGGTCAGGGCTGTTACTTTGTGGAAAAAGAAAGGAAAGTGGGCTGCCATGCTGGTGTGGCTCAGAGGTTGAACATCAACCCATGAACCTAGAGGGCACTGGCTCGATTCCTGGTCAGGGTACATGCCTGGGTTGTGAGCTTGGTCCCCAGTGAGGGGTGTGCAGGAGGCAGCAGATCGATGTTTCTATCTCTCTCTCTCTCTTTCTCCTCCTTCCTCTCTCTCTAAAATCAATAAAAACACATTTAAAAATAAATAAATAAAAGAAAGAAAGGAAGTGGGCGGAGAGCAGCCTCTTCTCTCTGTGGCAACATGGTGAGTCCTGTTCACCACACACACACAGAGGTTTTTCATCTCCAGCAGGACAGCCCAGGGCAGCGGACTCAACCTGCTAAACTGTGAGCTCCTTGAGGCCTAATCAGTGTTGACTTTTTCTCTGTTCCCAGCACAATGCCTGCTCCACAGCCTGGCTGCTGAATGTGTGAATGCAGCCCCCTGCTCCCCACCTTCCCTAGAGGCCCCCTAGTACACACAGATGAGGTCCCAGCCTCTGCACCAGGCAGATCACCCCTCATGGCTTCCTGAGAAGCTCCAGCTCCTTTTCACCTCTAAGACTTTCCTCCTGGAATGCCTTTCTTCCTCCTTCCTGCTGAGCACAGGGCGAGGCACACAGCACCAAATAAACATTTGCTCATTGATTTACTGAAATGAGATGATAAGCTTGGGCACATCTAAATGAATGCCACTCACATCATGGTTATGTACTAATTTCAATGAGAGCACACAAGTAGCCACACGGATTGTGAAGTCCTGAAAACATCTCTGGGGAAGTTCCCCGGGAGCACTGGCTGTTGTCGTACTAACTTGCTGTGTGAATGTGGGCAAACTCCTTGATCTCTCTGGGCCTCACTTTATATCCTGTACAATGAAAGGGCTCTTAGTGGAGTGATGTCTTGGGTGTCCCTTGCATGAGGGTGGGTAGAGGAAGTCTAGGCCCAATGCTTACCTTTTGGAAAGCAGAGGGGGTGCCCCAGTGGACTGTTCTGGTGATGTCTGTGGTTCCGTCCCTGTGTAGAAGGAAAAGCAACATGTCCAGCTCTGTTGAACACCTGGGGTAGGGATCAGGGCCGTGTGCTTTCCACGGGGGTTTGAGTGGCAGGGCTGGGACTGGGGTGGGGTGGGAGGTGAAAGGAAGAAGATGGCTGCCCTCATCAAATGCCCACCTTCAGTATTAATGCGTGAAGGAGCTCTGCACAGCTATCAAGTTCAAATCACTATATTGTCGGGCAGTCCTGATTTCTCACAAACACACCCTACCTCCATGCCCCACACCCCTTCTGGCTGTTTATAGATTTGGCTTTGCTTGGGTCAGGCTGACTCTAAAAGCAAGGCTTCCTCCAGGCTTCGTGAGAGGCAGGAGGGGTTTGTCCCATTTTACAGATGGGGAAACTGAGGCCTGGAGACATCGGAACACACACATTCAGACAGTTATTTACCATCTATAGAACACTTTGGGTAGCTCCCTGGGAAGGGAGATAGAGAAGGCCTCATTATCCCCATTGCACAGATGAGGCAATTGAAGCTGAGAGGCCGTGTCCCTCTCTGAGTCCCAGTGAACTGAAACCAGAAGCCAAAAAGGTTGACTTCCAACCACCAGCTTCAGCTGCTCTCCCAGGATGGCCCATGTGGCTGCCCCCTGGAGGGGGGGCGGGGAGAAATGGTCCCAGGGCCTTGGGGAATGCTCTTTGGGAGCAGGACACAAGGTGTGGCAGACTTTTTCAGGACAAAAGTGAGGGGACCATTTCCTTGACCTCGCCCTGCTGTGAGCATGCCCCAGTCCAGCAACACCTCACAAATGCACTTCCCCTTTGCACACTGGCTGTCTCCTGTACACGAAGAGCCACACTGGCCTCTAGGAAAGGCTGCTGGGCTGAGTGCCTGCTGTGCTGGCTCCCAGAGCTGTGCTTAGAACATTCCAAGTGCCTTTGTCATTAGCACATTCCCCATTTCTACAGGCCTGAGGAAGGCAAACTGAAACTCCTCCTCACTCCTTCATCCCTTCCAACACCCCTCCTTTCCCGCACTCTAAGCTTCCCACAGTCCACTTGCTTCTTAGATTCAAAGGGAAACTCTTCCAGCTCCTCTCAGCTCGGCTGCTGTATGAATGGTTGCTCAGGTATTTGGAAGGAACGGGGTTAGCCTATTCTGCATGGCTGTCACATCCCGGTGTTCAGGTTGTGCACTGTGTAAGGCTAACACATCTAAAAGGACGCCGTTCACTTCATGGTTCTGTACTAATTTTAATGAGAGCACGCAGGTGGACACCCACATTGTGGAGTCCTGGTGCAGGGGGAGAGCACCCTTTTACATCAAAACAGCTTACAGCAAAACATCGATGGGATGCCTCCTGCATGTCCCCCACTGGAGATCGAGCTCAAAACCTGGCCAGTGTTGCTCAGTTGGCTGGGTGTAATCCTGTGCACCAAAAGGTTGCTGGTTTGATTCCTGGTGGGGGCACATGCTCAGGTTTCGGGCTCCATCCCCGGTGGGGGCCGTGCAGGAGGCAGCTGATTGATGTTTCGCTCTCGCGTCGATATTTCTCTCTCTCTCTCCTTTGCTTTCTCTCTAAAATCAGTAAAAGCATATTTTAAAAAACATAAAAAAACTACACGTGGTAGGCGTGCACTCAGAGGAGCACACACACATTTCTACTCATAGGTACATACACATACTGATGAGTGTGCTGTCCCAACTGTGCTCTGAGTGTCCCCTGAGGTTGCTTCTCTTGCCTGCCTATTGCTTTTGGAGGCCTTATTCTGCCCCCACCCTCAACCTGACACGGTCACCTCACCCATGCAGGTGTGAGGGGAGGGGGCTGAGGAGGATGCATGGTCCTGGCGGTGTGTGCGCCACGTCCAGGGGATGCACGAGTGGGTGAGAGTATGGGTGCACTGTTTGTGTAGCCAGGCAGGGCTGCTAAGCATGGCTGTTCAGACTGTGTAATAATATGTGGGCTTAAAAACATTCTATTTGAGCAAGAGGAGTCTTCCTGATTGTCACTGAGGCACTGCATGGGCAGCCCCACTGTCACTGTTTCGGTCTCTGTGTGTTTCCCACTGTGGAGAGACCCCCCACCCCCCACCCCCCGTATAAAAATGGGAAGACTCATTCAATGTAGGTCTCTCCTTTCTCAGATGAAGAATCTGAGCCCAGGAAAGGAAAGCTTTGGCTAGTTATTGGCGGGCCCAGGGTACCTGGGCTGAGATAGTCAGGCCAGGGCGTGGTGGGGGTTACATACCAGTATTGTCCTCCAGAATCCACCAGGTACATCTCATCTGAAGACAGCTTGCGGTGTATCTCCTTTGACGGGCTGAGAAGGGGAGAGATGCTGGGAAAAGGAGCAGCCTATCCCTGCGCTTGGTGGGGTGGGGATCCTGAATGAAAGCAGAGAAATCCCCCTCACCCCTGGGGGTTGGACTTCCAGGTTGACTCCTTTGGGGAGGTCATGATCTCCCAAAGAGCCCTAGAAAGTTCTCAGCTTCTGCCACTAATGTCCTCAGCGTGTATCTGTTTATCTTCTACTTCACAAGCAAGGCCCTGGTCTCCACGCAGGAGAGAAGAGCCCAGAATGTGGGGGCTGGGAGAGCCATAAAGAGCACCCACTGCAGTCATCTCCTTTCACATAAGGAGGAACCGGTCTGCAGAGGCCAAGGGGATTGCAAAAGGTCACAGGGTAAAGCCAGGAGGGAGCTGGGCCTGGGCTCTTTCTCTAACTCCCTGCTCTCTCTTAGAGCAGAGGGGCCTGAGAAGCCAGGATGCAGGAAGGGAGGGCACCCAAGTGTAGGGCTGGAGAGCAGGTTTGTAGAGCTGAGGAGTTCCTACCCAGGCCAAGGCAGATGAGGGCTTGGGAGATGTCAGGGGAGGGGATTCTGGGATAGGCCAGGCTGGCTCTTGGAGGGTGTCTGACCTATCCTTGCTGTGCCCATACCAGGTTGAGGCATCTGGTCAGCTTGAGCCCCCAAACTTCATCATGCAGGCCTACAGGTGTTTGTTTTCTATGGAGCCAAACATTTGGCCAGCCTACATCTTGGGCCCACCTTAGTTGGTTCAGGCTGAATGAATGGACCTTTCTCCTCATGTGCTTGTGAGCATTAGGAATTAACTAAGATGAATAACTCACAGGACATCAAAGAAAAGCATCCATCAGCAGCACTGCCTTCCTTCCAGATCCCTTAGCCCTGAGTGCCCACAAAGTCCCAGCCTCTTGAAGGAAAATTGCTCAGGCCTTTTAATTCCAAGGAGACCCCCAACACATCCACTGGGCTCCACTCCCTGCCCCCTGCCCCCAGCCCCCAGGGTACTTAAGTCCTCAAAGCTTAAATATGGACTCAGGTTCCAGAGCATTCCCTCCTCCACCACCACTCCCCCTGCTCATACACTGAGATCCCCCCACAGAGCCCTAGAAAATTCTTTCCCCTAAAGTACCTGTAGTGGGCCAGGGCAGCATTCAGACCACTAGCAGAGATGGTTTGGAAACTGGGTCCCGAAGAAAATTCTTCTTCTCTGCAAAGTACAAAGCAGGAATGGTCACTGAATGGGCTCAGGATATCTAACGAGGGCAGATGAAGGTCACAGCTCCCTCTATCTTAGCCAGACTCCCCTAGCCCCACTTCTTGGTTCCATCTTCCCAAATCCTGACCTACCACTCATAGAGCACTCAAGGTCAGAGAAGGAGGGACTGTAGACACCTGTTATTCCTCCTCAACCTCCAGTTTACAGATGGGGAACCAAGGCCCATATGACCTACAGCGTGTTCTTGGTAAAGCAAGAGTGAAGAAACCTAGCTCCCTGTATTTAGAAACTTCCCGAGCCCGGGAACAGCATCCTGCACCTCAGACCTACAGCCTGCAGCCTATGGCCTGGGCCAAACATGCCCTCAGGAAACCTCCATCCTCAACTTGATATTCTCAAGTGGTCCAGAGGCCAACAGACCTGAACCAGCTACCCACAGGGAGAATGGTGGTGAAGCAGACACTAGGGGGCGACGTTAGGTTGTGGCCCTTGAAGTTGTCCTGTCAACGGGGACTGGAGAATGTCATCCAACACTCCCTGCCCAACTCCAGGACCACCCAAGAACCGGTCACTTCTTGTTCCAGAGAGGTCCCCAAATACAAGTAGGGTCTTCCTCCCCGCTAAGTATGGAGACCAAGTTCCCCTCCCTTTCCCCATCCCCCACATTGAAAGATAGCCCCAAAGGACAGCTGTGGTCCTTCACCCTCGGAATCTGTCGAGCCGCTCCGCCCCTGAGAACTCGTTCACCGTGCCTTTGGGCACGTTCTTCTCCAGCCACACCAAGTAGCGGATCACTGTCACAGCATCCCGCACCTGGAGCGGGGCAAGCAGAGAAGCTGGCTGAGGAGCAGCCTCAGGCAGGGCTCCGGGATGAGGGGATTGGGTGGCTGCTCTGGGAGCTGAACTCTAAGTGCATGATGGTTTCACCGGCTATCGGATAATCTGAAGGAATTCTTGTTAGTGTTTATGTCTATGATCACAGGGGGGTGATGCTTTGAAGAGTCTTTATTTTTTAGAGATACTTACTGATGCACTGACAGAAGAAAGGATATGATATGTGGGATCTGCTTTAAGCTCACCCAGCAGCAGGAGGTGGGGAGTGGAGGAAATGAATGTGGCTTGCAGACAAAATGGGATTGGCCATAGCTCGATGGCGGCTGAAGCTCAGCGATGGCGATGGGAATCATGAGGCTATTTTCTCGACCTTCACGTATGTCTCAGATTTTCCATAAGAAAAAGTTTTCTACAATGAGGTGCTTTGCCCTTATTTTATCAGGAATATCCAAAAGACTGAGCAGTCCTCTTCCAGGGTGAGGAAATCATCACAGTAAACACTTATTTAACACTTGGGATGTGCCAGATGGTACTCAAAGCAATACACAGATCATTTAATATAGTAATTATATGCATATAATTATATATAATTACACATTTATATAATTTATATGATTATTACATATTTAGATAATTATATGTTTATATGTATGCACACATTATATGCATGTAACTGTATATACATACTCACATTTATATATGATTATGTATTATATATTAATTATATATTATAATGAACAAATTTAAACATATATTAATCACTTATCAATATGTATTATATACAGCCAGTCCTCTGTAGTCACAGTTTCTGTATCCACAGATTCAACCAACCATGGATCAAAAATATTTGAAAAAAAATTCAGAAAGTTGATCCTTAAACTA